AGCTGAAACCTCAATAAGCTTTTTAGAATCTTTGCAAATATCCTTCTGTCAATGTTCATCGTGTATGCTATGCAAACTTTTTGCTGGAACACACATAATATCACTTCTACATTGCAGAGTATCTCTTTCAAGCAATCAATTCATTCACCACACTACATTGTTTCAAGTAGTCTGAAACAGAAAGCACACCAAAGATTGTAAATTTTCATATAATACTACATTGGAATTTTCAGAAATGTAATAAATAAAATCTAAAGGCCTAGCTTAAAAAAAACTCGGGGGAAGCTAGTTTCTTAACTCCTTTTCCCTTTTTATGCACAAGACATTGAAGAACACAGCAAGTAGCAAGTAGGAGAAGGGTTATCAGATTAACTAACAGACACAAGAATTAATGTTCAGAAATTTTAGATGCAAATTTCAGAAGCAAATTCATCAATATAGAAAAGTGTATTTTACTGAGAATACAGTTAAAATGTATGCAAAGCTTATCACAGGTCCAATTTTGGGAGGAGGGAGGCTGGCCTCATACCCTCTTGTGGGTCTCTTAATGTACTATATACACAGGCTTTTATACTAACTGCAAGCAGGAGTGTACCAATATAAGTACGGGACCTAACATTTTAATTCCAGAAATATTCCTAACATCATATCACTCTAGAACAGTGTTTCCCAACCTGGGGATCATGACCCCTTATAGGGTCCCGAAGTGTTTTTGGGGGATGTCACTGGGCACCTTATATGTGTTGTATTTTATTTATAAAGAGTGGCCCTGACTGCCAGCTGGGTGGTATATACTGTAAATCAAATAAATAAACAAATAAATAAACAAGTTAATAATAACAAGAACAACAACAATTTATTTATTTATTTAAAATATTTTTACCCACTTTTCTCCTTTAAAAGGACCCAATGTGGCTTGCATCACTGAAATACAATATTTAAAGCTGGTAGGGGATGGGGGATATGGGATACTTGGCTCAGCAAAACTACGAGCGAGAAGGATCTTGGAATTGTTGTAGATCACAAGCTAAATATGAGCCAACAGTGTGATGTGGCTACAAAGAAGGCTAATGCTATTTTAAAGGTAAAGGTTCCCCTTGACATTTAGTCCAGTCGTGTCCAACTCTAGGGCATGGTGTTCATCCCCGTTTCCAAGCCGTAGAGCCAGCGTTTCTCCGTAGACAGTTTCCGTGGTCAGGTGGCCAGCGCAACTAGACACAGAGGTCCGTTACCTTCCCACCATGGTGGTACCTATTTACTCGCATTTTTACATGCTTTTGAACTCCTAGGTTGGCAGGAGCTGGGACAAGTGATGGGAGCTCACTCTGTCGCATGAATTCGATCTTACGACTGCCGGTCTTCTGACCTTGCAGCACGGAGGCTTCTGCAATTTAACCTGTGGCACCACCACATCCCTATACAGTGGGGTCTTGACTTGAGAACTTAATCCGTATTGGAAGGCGGTTCTCAAGTCAAAAAGTTCTCAGGTCAAATCTGCATTTCCCATAGGAATGCATTGAAAACCATTTGATCCGTATCTGCTCTTTTCCGTCCATAGAAACTAATGGGAAGCTGCTATTCCGCCTTCGACCACTAGAGGGGGATATTTTGTTTCTTTTTTTCTTAGGTCAAGAAAGGTTCAGGGAAGGCAGGGAAAATACAGTCCAGGCAGTACAGTACCAGGCAGTCCGAAGACTGTCTCCCAATCCACTCTCTAAACGCTGGGAGGAGTGAGGAAGCAGACAGGCACCCTTTTCACTGGCCAACAGTTAACTGAAAGTTCAAATTTTGCACTTTCCCTGCCTCCCACATGGTTTTTTTTCAAAATGTTCTTAACTCGGGCCGTTCTTAAGTCAAGACCCCACTGTATAATGCTATTTTTTGGCTGCATTAATAGAAGTATAGTTTCCAAATCCTGCAAGGTGCTAGTCCTCTTCTATTCAGCACTGGTTAGACTTCACCTTGAGTATTGTGTCCAGTTCTGGATACCAGACTTCAAGGAGGATGCTAACAAACTGGAACATGTTCAGAGGTGGGCAACAAGGATAATCAGGGGGCTTGAAACCAAGCCTTATGAGGAAATGCTGAAAGAATTGGGCATGTTTAGCCTTGAGAAAAGAAGACTGAAGGGTGATATGATAGCACTTTCCAAATACTTGAAAGGCTGTCATACAGAGGAAGTCCAAGATCTGTTCTCAATCATCCCAGACGCACAACAATGGTCTCAAGTTAAATAAAACCAGACGTCAGTTAAATATCAGGAAAAATTTCCTAATTGTTAGAGCAGTACGACAGTGGAACCATTTACCTTAGGAGTTGGTGAGTCCTCCAAGACAAGAGGCATTCAAGAAAAATTTAATCACCTGGCAGATATGCTTTGATTGTATTCCTGCATTGAGTAGGTGGCGCAGTGGTGAAACTGCTGTACTACAGCTAAAACTGTGCTCACGACACAGGGTTCAATCCCAGGTAGCTGGCTCAAGGTTGACTCCGCCTTCTGTCCTTCCGAGGTTGGTAAAATGAGTACCCAGTTCGCTGGGGGGGGGGCAATGTGTAGCCTGCCCAATTAACTTGTAAACCGCCCAGAGAGTGCTTGAAGTGATATGGGTCTGTGTATAAGCAGCACACTTTTTGCTTTGCTTTTGGACTTGATGGCCCTGTAGGCCCCTTCCAACTTCACTTTTCTTTGATTCTATGAAAGTTGAAAACAATAAATATACAATTGTGGTTTACATCATTAAAAGACAGCATTAAATTTAAAAGGCAAATTACATCATTAAAAGACAATATTAAAGCTAAAAACAGTAAGTATACAAATATTAAAAAGAAACAAATACCACTCTGAGAAATGGTAAACACAAATAGTACTAAAAACCCAATCAAAGCCTTTGTTAGATAATTTCTTCCTTGACCTTTTGGAGTGGGATATTAAAGTTAGTGTATATGTGTACATACGAGAAACAAGTCCTTTGGGGAAGAAAGAAGCCCCTATTTTCTGAGAAGGGCTGGCTTTACCCCATTAAAATGCCTTTTTATGAAAACATGGAGGAGGAATAGACTACTTGGCTATTATAAAAGGGGGTCACAACTGTAGTCACTGCTGTAGAATGTTGTGGAAATCAAAATGGTGGCTCTTTCAGATCAAGGTAGCTATTAATTGGAGCATTGGAACAACCATTTAAAGTGTGATGTGAGGGCTAACAGCGGTCTAAAGATGCCAGATACTAATGCCAGGCCTGGATCTGCCCTAATGCAGTCCCACAAAAATATGTAGAGAGAGGATTAAGGATAAATAAGGAGAACAGTTCATTGCCAGAGGTCTCATGTTAGACTTTTCAAAGAGATATATGCATTTAATCTTAATGTTACCACCCTAACATACTGGACTAGATGCAGAGACAGATTAAATAGAGCTCAGCCTACATAGCAGGGCTTTGGTAAATCCTTTCCACTATCTCATTTCTCTCATATCCTGTATAATTCCGTCCTGTTTTTTTTCTGAAGGCTAAGGACCTTTTAAATGTTATGTTAAAGGGAACTCGGGTCTGCAACAGGATAGGAAATTCAGAGTGTTTGGTATAAGTGGAGAGTTACTGTACTCTCTCTGCAATTATTACTAACGAGGTGCCATCAGGAAAATTATGACTCATGGTGACCCTTTCCAGGATTTTCTAGATGGAGAATACTCAGAAGTGGTTTTTCATTCCATTCTTCTGGAGCTGTCCTGGGACTGTGCAGCTTGCTGGAGGACACACAGGCTAGTAGTATCTTCTCCCAGGAGGCACAGTGCGGAACTGTCCACCTAAACCAGTGGTTCTTAACGTGGGGGATAATGCCCCCCAGGGGGCAATTTCATTTTTCAGG